ACCTGCAGAAAAATGAAGCAAAACCTTTACCTCACTCCATGCACAAGAATAAACGCAAGGTGGATCACATACCTAGAAGTTAAACTCAAAACTGTTAGGGCCATCAATGAGGGAATTGGAACAAACCTGAGAACCTTGGCACTGGGAATACATAGGCTATCTGAAATGGAAAAGAATACAAATACAGATCAGTCATAAATTGACAAGTGAGATCTAGTGAAGATAAAACACTTGTGCACATTGGAAGAATTCACCAAGAGAATAATAAGAGAGACCATGGACTGGGAAAACATCTTTAGCAATGACACATCAGACAATGGCCTTATTACTAAAATCTACAGTACTCTTCCAACCTAAAAAAACAAAAACAAAAGCAATGAAAACAAAAACAAAAATCCAAATGAAGGCTGAACATGATAGTGGGACAAGAGGAAAGTAAAAGGAAATAGCGGAAATAACTAGGAGGCAAATGGGCATTTATAAAGGTCTAAATACAGACATGTACATATGTAAATATATTTATATATATAACAATAGCAAAATAGATCTATGTACATATATTTATATGTTAAGTACCAAGGTGGCAGACGGACATTGGACCTCTATTCAAATCCTCCCTCATGCAAGAACACTTTGTTCTAATAACCTGGCATTCCGTGATGCTCACCTTCTCGACATGATTGCTGAAGACAAAATGGGTGCATTGCAAATGTGGTGAAGAAAGCTGATGCTGCCCGACTATCAAAATATATAGCATCTAGGATCTTAAAGCACTAAAGACAAACAAGCGGCCATCTAGCTGAGAGGCAACAAAGTCCATATTGAAGAATCACACCAGCCTGTGCAATCATGAGGTGTCGAAGGGATAAGATATCAGGTATCAAAGACTCAGAACAAAAAAATCATATCAACAGAATGAGGGGGAAAGCAGAGTGGAGACCCAAAGCCCATCTGTAAACAACTGGCCATCCCAAGTTGAGCCAATCAGGGTGCAGTATAGCACCGATGAAACACACAACTTTCCTCTAGTTCTTTAATGTTTCCCCCTCCCACTATCATGTTCCCAATTCTACCTTACAAATCTGGCTAGACCAGAGCATGTACATGGGTACAGATAAGAGCTGGAAACATAGGGAAT